GTTGCTAGGAAAGAAAACAATTATTAAAAAAGGATCTTTGAATGTTATCTGTAGTGTTTGTTGGTACCAACAGTAATAACTTTTAAAGCCACCTTGTAGGCATCTTGGAGTAGATTAAATGAGTTAATTCATCGAAGTTACAAACCAGGATTCTCATTGTGAAAGGTGCTAAACTACAATAAGTGGGAGAAAAGGAGACGGGTGAACTCTGTGGTATGGGGCTGGAACTAGAGGCCATCACTATATAGTTGGAGTCTCTGCCACTCTTGAGCCCTAATCTAAACCTGGCTGTCTAGGGCAAAAGGAAGATAGATTCTGCTTCTGTCACTCTACCTTCCAAGTACTTTTTTTCTTTGAATAAACACATGCAATTCTATTATCACCCGCATGCTGTACATTGTTAATCAAGGCTTGTTCATCCTCCCTATCTGGACTTGGCATTCTCAAAGGTGCATCTCCTATTTCTTCCGGTTTATCCTTAGAACCCATTGAGTTCTCTCTCTGTCTCTCTCTCTCTCTATATATACACACATACACACACACACATATATATATATTTGATTTTTTTTTTATTAAGAGTCCATATGGGAGATCATGCAATGTTTTTCTTCCTGTGTCTGGCTTATTTTATTTAGCAGAATATCCTGCAGGCTAACCCACACCGTGGGAAATGATATGACCATTGCTTGAGTGCTGAAATGTTCCGTTGTATGGACATACTGAGTCCTTACCCACATGTCTGTGGACATACCCCTAGGCTGCTTTCATCTTAGCTATTATGATGGGACTCCAATAAACACAGGAGTGCAAATTTACAAGGTGGTTATTCCACTTCATGTTTTTCTGTGTGTATGCTTAGAAGATGGAAGCTAGGAGTCACAATTTTATTAAGATGTATTTACTTCTTTGGAAGAATTACCAAAAGGGACACACATTCCAACCAGGAGCCAGTAATACTTCTGGGTTCTCCCACATGAGCAAAGTGCCCAAGTACTTGGGCAATCGTCTGCTGCTTTCCCAGACGCACTAAAAAGGAGCTGGGTCACAAGGTAAAAAGCTGTACTTACCATGCCACAGCACCAGCCCTACCAGTTACTTTTTTTTCTTAAGATTCATTTATTTTTGTTGCAAAGGTAGATTTTACAGAGAAACAAAGATCTTCTATCTGCTGGACGATTCCCTAGGTGGTTGCTAATGGCTCCAGGGTCCTTTTCTGGGTCTCCCACACTAAGGCAGGATCCCAAGGCTTTTGGCCATCCTCCACTGCTTTCCCAGGCCACAAGCAGGGAGATGGATGGGAAGTTGAGTAGTTGGGATATGTAGCAGTGTTCATATCGGATCCCAGTACTTGAAAGGACAGGATTAGCCAATTGAGCCATTGCACTGGTTCTTACTTACAGATTTTTATGTGTGATCTGCAAAAATGTTTGCTTATGTTTGATCTTTTTTTTTTTAACCAGGTTGTCATTGCACTATTGAATTATATAAGCCCTTTATAAGATTTGGGTATCAATATAGCTTGTGAATTTATTCTATAATTTTTGGGTACTAACATAAATAAATCTGCTTGTTCCAGATATCTTCTGCAGTTAGATCTTTGAATGTAACAGAAATCCTTATTTTTCCGTGATTTTGAAATCTGCAATTTTGCTAAATTTACTTATCTTGCTACCTTTTCACATCTTTGGGAGATTTTTATCCATAGGACAATCTGCAACGATTTTTCCTTACTTATAACTAATTTACTGAGCAAAAGTTTTTTCCCTTGATTTTGGACTCATTCATTTATTCTTATGGCCTCAGGCTTTAATAATTTCCAAGACGTGATTGCAATACAGTACCTAGATTTCTACTTAGATCTTACATGTATTTTGACTTCTGTTTTAAAGTCTAACTTTTGATCAGGAAATGTAGTATACCTCCTTTTGATATTCTCAATTATTTTTGCTTGCATTCTTTGGTTTTCTTAGGACTGTTTGGCTCATCAGTCTTTATGCTTCCACACAGATTTTAGTATTTTTGAGAAAAATGCCATTGAGATTTTGATAGGGATTGCATATCTGGGTAAATGGATATTAAGTAATGATCTGATCCTTGAAGATGACATTCTAACATTCGTTTACACTTTAATTTGTTTCATCCTAGTTTTATAGTTTTCCATGTACAAATCATCCTTTTATTATATCCTGGGCTGAATTCTTTCCTAGAGACTTTAATGCCTTCTTGATTTGTTTTGCGGTTAGGTCTTGAAGCACAAAGCTGAATCTTAAAATTAATGTCCATTTCGAATTCTCTAATTTTATTGAGTTTATTTACACGTGCTGCGAATTTATATGGTATGGTATCTTAGGGGACTTTACACAGTGGTGTCCCTGGCAGACATGCCACTCTTCCTGACGCAGAAGTTGCCTTCTTCTCTGCCAATTGCTGTTGCTAGGACTAACAGTACCATGTTGAACACAATAACATGGTCTTCGTTGTCTCATATTGCATCTTAGCAGCAAGACTTGTAAATAGCTCTTATTATATTGAAAAACTTTCCTTCTATACCTAAACTATTGAGATTTTTGGTTTTTATTAAATCAGGAATGTTGCTGGACTGTTTGTTTTCTCTGGATAAACAGAGGAAGCTGATACATACTTTTCATTATTCTAACATAGTGCAAAGCACTGATTGACTTGAATATGGTAAACCAGCTTTGCATGGCAGTAGGTCCTGCTTTGTTGTGTCTTTCTGTGTTGCTGGATTTAGCATGCTAATATTGTATCAGGATTTCTGGATCAATGTTGTCAGAGAAACTTGGCTGAGGTTTTCGTTGTGTGAATTTTTTTCCCCCTTAAAAGATTTATTTTGATTTGAAGGGTGATTTGAGAGGAGGGAGAGAGCGCGCTTCCATGCACTGGTTCGCTCCTCAAATGACTACAACAACCAGAGCTGAGTCAATTCAAACTCTGGGAGCCAGGAACTTCTCCTGGGTCTTCTGCATGGGTGCAGGGTCCCGAGGACGTAGGCCATCCTCTGCTGTCTTCCCAGGCCAGTAGCAGAGAACTGAATCAGAAGTGGAGCAGCTGGAACATGCAGACAGCCTGCAGGTCCCTCTTGTGATGTTTTTTGCCTAAGTTTCAAGATGATACTGGACTTCTAAAACGTTAAAAGCAAATGTGATAGTAAAAAACAAGCAAGCAAACAAAAGTCAATAGTAACCATTAAAATTACTTTTGAGCGTTTTACTTTCCCTTAAAATATTCTTAGTTCATATGAGTAAGTCTCTGCTGTGCCACATGACACCTGCTGTTCCTGGCTGTTTCGGTTAGCCAAAAAGCTTACATATACTGCCTTTTCTTTTCAAAATAATTCATTAAAAACAAAAATTTTCAGTGATAGGAGAATGTTCTCATCTGCTGACCTTCTCCCCACCTGCTGGGCTGAAGGCAAGAGCCAGGAGCTCAAATAAGGTCTCCCAGGAACTCAGCCCTCGCAAACATCACTGCTGTTGTCCAGGGTCTGCAGGAGGCCAGAGACAGGAAGGCCCAGCGGATCCAGGCACACTGGTGTCTTCCTGGCTAGCCTGAAGGCCTGCAACAGCCACACAACACTCCATTTAACTCTGTTATTCCTGTTGATGTTGAGATTTCCACTTACTAGCAACCTCAAACAACTGTGCAACACATATCAGTACACTGGCCTTAGTGTATATGCTCAGACTGCCGAAAAGCAGGTTTTAGAATGAAGTAACAATGTATTTTTCAAAATACAACCTGCAAAACAAGATTGCATAAATTTATTTTTATTGTTGAGCTGGATTAATGTGCTACTAATACTTTAAATGCAAGAGTTTACATTTAGTATATTACTTTTGAAATACCGATGAACACACTAAAATAAAAAGCCAGTAATTAATCAACCTTATACATAATTATAGAAATTCAGTGTATACTTTGAAGATACAGACATGAGTTTAAAGTCCCAGTTTTGGTATTTAGGACCTATGTAATACTGAGCAGGCTATTTAACACTGTTAAGCCTTGATTTATGTCTTTTCCTGGCAAATTGGGAAAGCAGTAGTGTTTACCTGAATAGGGTTGTCATGAGGATTCATATACAAAGAGTTTCTTCAAAGGCTAACATTTTCATAGCTCATGCTGTTAAACAACAGAAGCATGTATCTAGTTATGCTTTTAAAAAATGAGAATGAACACTAAAAATTCCTACCAATGAACTCGTTATGAGTTTTTAATTTTAAGATTTTATTTTTATTGGAAAACCAGACAGAGAGGAGGAGAGACAGGAAGATCTTCTGTCCGATGATTCACTCCCCAAGCAGTTGCTGGAGCTGCGTTGATCCAAAGCCAGGAGCCAGGAACTTCTTCCAGGTCTCCCATGTGGGTGCAGGGTCCCAAGGCTTTGGGCCATCCTCGACTGCTTTCCCAGGCCACAAGCAGGGAGCTGGATGGGAAGCAGGACTGCTGGGATTAGAACCAGTGCCCATATGAGACACCAGTGCATGCAAGGTGAGGACTTTTAGCTGCTAGGTTACCGTGCCAGGCACAAGTCTTTACATTTTTAATATAAAATCTTCATTGTAACCTCTGACAATCAAAAGGTACTGATGTGTGGGCAGAAATTAGAATAGAACAATTTCCATAGGCTCATAAAATTTAGAAAATACAAAATTCTAATTAAAAAATTTCAATAATAAGATCTGGGATTAGGCTTATCAGACTGCATTGTTATTGTTACCCACTGGTATTTTCTGAGAATGAACTTTAGTTATGACGGTTGGTAGTTTGTAAGCACTATTAACTTAGGAATGGATATAAAAAGCAAGCATAAAACTTCAATGTTGCGGCTGATTTCATGCATTCCTTTTAATAGAGTCTTAAGTACTAAGATTTCCTAGAGGTATGATCACCTCAAATCTCCTCTATATATAGGAAATTATAACATGCTCATTTTCAGACATCAAAAAACATTTAAAATAGACATCACAAAACCTATCTGTAGTTTAAAGGTCAAATTTATTAGGAGATTAAGAGATGTGTTATATGTGGACTATAAATACGGCACAGCTGACTTTATTCACCGTCAGGCACAGAGAGTCAGTGCCAGCCTATTTTGTGGACACTCTAGTTCTTTTGTTCCAAGAAAAGTTTGCCCCATAAGACTTGGACTTGGGCTTAGGAATCTTCTTCTCTTCCACATCATAGCTCCATCCTAGAGGAAAGAAACAAAACCAAAGCCATGAGAATAGCATTAAGTAGACTAACTGGAGAACACAGCAGGCAAAGGCTACTGTTCAAATTTAATGTGGACTTATCCTCCAGAGGAAATGTCAACACATCTGAAAGATAAACTTAGTAATTTGTTCTGTTACCCAGTACGTCAAAACATTGCCTGAACATGATTTGCTATTTATCAAATTAAAGGTGTAACCCAATTCTTGCTCAATTACTGAGCAAAAATTTCATGTAAAAACTTATTTCTTATTTTATATGTGACTTTAACAATTGCAGTGAGGAATATTGAACAATACAACTTATCTTGACTGTGCTACAAGCTGGTGTTTTTACAGTAGAACTCAATGATGCAGAAAAACATGTGACACAAATTACACAGATTGCCAAATTGGACTAGACCACGACCTACCTGGTTCAGCTCTCCAGACTTCACCAGGCTACTGGCGAAACTCCAATGTTTTCAACATTTGTTTCAAGTGCTATCTTTACTGGCCGGAATTGCACTGAAGCACTGGCTAAGGATTCAAATTTGTAAGCTTTGTCCAAAAGCCTAATGCTTCAGAATAGGGTTTAGTATGTCCTGGAAACTTACACTTCAACTGTTAATTCCATGAGATTTTTGTAAAGAAAATGGGAAACTCCAGACTGAAACTATGTAATTTCTGAGAGCTCATTTGCCCCTCCCATAGTCATTTCAGTACTCATAATTTTGTTTCATAATGGATTTGTTTATGTATACATTTTTAAGTCCTGTTTTCAGTTCTAAAATATGGAGAACAAAATCAAATGACCCCTGCAAAAATAAAATTAGATCACTTTTATTTCCTAGGTTAAATTTTACTAAAGATTTTTCCACTCCTATAATATAGCATTCTCTTCTCAAAGGACTAAATACATCTTTAAGCATCTGATTCATGCAGTCATGTATAAAATGTCCAAAATGAATACTATCTAATCAGGGGCTGCTTCATCTTATGAATTCTAAAAACTTCCAATGTCTCTTAATCAGTTTAGTACTTTTTGCCATAAAGTTCATTAATAGCTCCTTAACTGGAATTCAATTTTGCCACAGAAATGAAGCTTGTGTAACTGTGATTACCAAAGTATATACTGTTCTAAAAAGGAAAATAACAACACTTAACATAATGCTCCAAATTAATGTTTTAAATACTTCATCTATAGGAGAAGATTACATTCCCATTGCTAGAATTCTATAGTCTAATAACTATAAGAAAGTGGGAAAGTGGGGAAGTAAATTATGTCTCAGAATCCAGGAAAGGTAAGACTGCTTCAGCTTACTTGTCCAATTTTAACCTAATTTTGACAAAGTAGAAAAAATTTGTTTCCTATCCATTTAAAAAAATTAAAAAGTTGTGTTTTACTTTAAAAACCTGCACTTATAAAGAACATCAACAATAGCTATTTCAATTTTAAAAATGTTAGTAATAGTACCTACTGTCCAAAGTTGTTCTGAGGATTAAACAAGTTTATTCATGGGAAGTGCTTAAAAACAAACATGGCACGTAACCATCATTGTATTGGATTCTATGAGAAAGACATTTCTAATAAAACCTTTATATAAACTATTCCCTCTATACAGATGAATAAATAAAGGCTCAGAGTTTAAGTGCCTTGCACAGTCTCACTCAAATTTGATTTGTAATTTCTAGGGATATTTGTTGTGTAGATGTAAATCAATCGATTTCTATTGGGGCCTTCAATTATCTGTAACTTCACTTAGATGTTTTGGTAAGCAAATTAATACTGTAATCTGATCACAGGAAGTTCAACAAATTTCTGAAATGTTCCACATTAAATAATACATGATATGGATAATTAAAAGAAAAAATTCAGGGACCAGCATTGTGGCAAAGTGGGTTAAACATAAGCTGCCCGCAGTGCCAGCATCCCATAAGGGTGCTGGCTAGAGTCCTGACTGCTCCACTTCTGATCCAGCTCCTTGCCGATGCGCCTGGGAACGTAGCAGAGGATGGCCTAAGTACTTGAGCCCCTGAACTCTTGTGATAGACTAGAAAGAAAGATGCTGCAGGCTTTATAACCATTTGAGGATAAACTAGAGGATGGAAAACCTCTCTCAATCTGTAACGCTGCCTTCCAAATAAAGCAAAGCTAAGCCTTAAAAGTAGTTGCTCAAAATAGGTACAACTGAAGATGCACTCATTTAACAAATATTACTGACTGCCTACTCTCTTAGGGATTGTGTGTAGACCCTTAAGGTGTCTATACTCATTCAATGAAAACAAAAAATACTGACTTCTTTGTTAGCAGGAAAGAGAACTTAGTAAGTAAATGTATTATACACTTGTAATTGGTCCTAAAAAGTAATGCATTAAAAACATATACATGCTAGTGAGTATTAAGCATCAAACACTTCAGGTACAGTATATAGGGAGCCCTCGCTCCTTGAAAAGGTAACTTTTGAGAAAATACAAAAGATGAATCTCTTAGAAAAGAATTTCCAGGCAAAGAGAAGCACAATTGAGAAGGCTTTGAGACAAGAACATGCGTGTGCAATGCATTGCATGTTTTAGGCCCTGTTAACAATTTTAAATGTATTTTGATTGAAAATTTTTAAAGTAAGCTTATAGGTTGTGTGGGTCATAAGGGAGATGCCTTAAAGATTTAATACTGACCAATATGAAAAAATAAAACATAAAATAAACAGCCTAAAATGCCATAGACTAGGATTTTAGTTCAGATTGACATAGAAACTGTTACAACTACCTCATAGGTGAAACTGAATTGGTTTAAAAAACAAAAACTAAGAATTGCAATATTAATTCCACTCATTTCCTTTGAATACATACAATTTTGGACGTGGTTTTCCTTTTATTTCTGAAAATTTTCAGAAGAGACTAACAGTCCCTAGAAAGCTGCCACGTTCTGCAGCTGTAAGGGAAACAGTTGCCAGTGCAGATTGATAATGATCACTGGGAGGTTAACCAAGGCTGCCATGATCTTTTCTTGCCAAAGGATGAACAAGAACCTAGGTTTCCCATCCCGAGTCTCTCAGCATTCAGTCTTTACCTCAAAGACATTAGGAGAGCAAATGCGGATGAAATGAGAAAGCACTTGGAAATGTTTAGAAATTAGTACTTTGCACAAACACCTGAAACTCGCTCTCCACTCAGTTTCCCTTCAGTCACCAGGGAGAAAGTTTTATTCTAACTGCATCTGGACTGAAACACATAGATCTATTATCTGTCCTGGTTACAGAGTTTTAAAATGCTATCCAGGCCACTGCAATGTGAAATGGGAATTACACATCCGTAGGAAACCAACCTGGTTAGGCACTCTAACTACAGAGTGAGCTGGCTGTTAGGAACGCTGTTACAGGGGCTGTTGATGTAGAAGTATCATGAAAGGTACTGGAATGTGGATGCGCAATCAAAGAAAAATGCGCCTCAAAGAATCCAGCATTTAGGGCCCATCTCTACAGTACTGCCCTACCAAAACCATTCATGATTGTTACGGTATAAAGGTCTTTTTTTCCCTCACCTTCTTTGGAAAACAACTTTGTTCCCAAAGTATAACAAGCTTCTATGATCATCTACAGAGTGTGAGGAAGTCTGGTGGCAATTCCATAAAAAGCTGAAACTAAGATTAGAACCTACGTAAGTCTCCCTTTGGATTTAAACTTTTCTACATAGGGCCGCTGTGGTGAACTCTGGCTTTCTGTAGAGCGACTGTTTAGCCTTATCACAGCTCCAAGCATCCCCTTCTCAAGTGTTTACTTTCCTGAAAGATCCAATCTACTGGTTCCAACACACTTGGATATACAGGTTGCTGGAGCAGGCGCAGTAAAGCACTAGCTAAAAAGACAACAAAATGAAACACCCCCAGGAGTAACAGCATTGTAAGGACAGAAATGTGCATATTCAACTGAGTAAAATACATGCGTTATGATTATTTTTGCTACTTCTGGTTTGCAACTTGTTCCTCAAGAGAGTGTAATATAGCTCGTGAGGAACAGTATGTGGAAATTTAAGAATGAAATCATACTTGTGAAATGTTTGAACTTCTAAGAGTATCTCTTTCAACCCTAAAATGTTTTATTTTTAAAGCAAAATCCAGAGTAGTTCTTCTGAATGAGATCCTGAAAGTGAAAACACTCCCACCCTTTGAGGTCTGCTGACGAAGGTGTCGTCTACGGTCCCATATGCTGTCCTATTACAATACCGAAAACCAGCCTTTGCTCTTCCCAGCTGTGTGACAGAAGATGATCAAAGCAACTGAGTCCAAGACAGCTGCCCCAGGGATGGGGTAAAGCTCCCAGGACTGCCGTCACTTCCACTGTGCAGGCTAGCCAGATGGCGTGGATTAACCACAAAGCCAGCCAGCAGCACCTAGGGCTAGAGAGGCCGAGTCCCTCTGTGTTTCACACACTGGAATGCTTTCACAGAAACATTTTGAACATTAAGCCATAGTATCAAAAAACTACCTCTGGCAAATGCTCCAGCAAAATTAAAATGTGATTTTTTTTTTAAAAAATAACCCACGCCCAGTTTCTTTTACAGAAATATGCCAGTTTTGTCAGTCTCCACACTATGGTTATGACGGTTTCCTACAATATGAATGCTTGGTGTAATCTTTTCAAATGCCAGAAACAAATCAACACACTAGCATCTGAAGGAAACGAGACCACTGCAGTTAAATTATGAATTCCATGTACAATATAGAGAATTCCATTTTTATGTACAGAACCATTTCTTTTATGGTTCAGTAATGCAAAAATGCAAGGAAGCATTCATTTCTTTTATTGTTTGTGAAATGTGGCACCTGTGATAACCTTGACTCTCAACCTGTGAAAGGTCTTTCTTCCCATTACAGCATAATCGCAGACATTAGGTCAGAAGGGCAGTCAATGTGAATATTAGTCATTATTTAGAACATTTTTCAGAAGAAAGAAAATATAGGGACCCATGTTGTGGCAAAGCAAGTAAAACCAGCACCTGC